ATCATACTTAGATAACTTAGCGTAAAGCTATCTTGGATATATTTTCACCCTCAACTCCAATATGATGATATCACACCCTAAGGTTAATCTTACTAAACACCCACTAATTGATCCATAAGGTCACCTATCCTCGTATTAACATACATGCATATCAAATCATATTAGAATACCTACTTTAAACCTTCATATATACCATCCCTAAGCATGTATGAATCAATCACCATTTACACCATATAGCGTGTACATGAACCAACTTTACCACATAGCATAATACAACCTTAAACAACCTTTCAATCCACATGATAACACCTCAAGACATCATAACAAGATTAGCTTTTATCATTGCATTGCTTAACAACTCAAAACATCATGACACCATGCATATCCCTCCAAAAGCTGTCAAAGAAAATGATACTTAGAGAGTTATACTCATCCAAATTATCTCAAACCTATCTCAAACGAAGGCTAAAAGAATAAGCTACAACTTCTATGAAGACATGAGATTTTAAAAGATCATCTTTTTAGCTAAAAATTCAAAAACCACAATAGATATATTCAGCGCTTAGAATTAGACCTCTGTTTTACCTGATTCTATTTCCATTGGAAAGATAACGTCCAAGGCTACAACTTTTTTGAAGACCATCAAATCTAAATCCGTCAATAGAGAACTCGTACGGGCACAACAAAACTGTAGTGCAAACATCCCCTACACCAGACAACAATAGTGTATCAACCTCTAAAGCCATGAAAATACCTCTATCCTTTCAGACTCACTCCTTTCCTCCTCAAACTCATATCCGAGCTACAATTCTACACCAAAACAACTCACATATTCCACACAAAAGACTTAGAGCTGAAATAAAATCCTCATGCAACCTAACCCCTAACAAGGTTAATATGCAAGCATCAAAACTTAAGGAGATCAACACTTCAACCTTTCATCAAGAACATGCAAAGCTCCAATGCTCAACACAGAATCTCTTGGATTCAATCACTACAACTATAGATTACAGAAACTCCATCAACCATAAACTCTCAATACACTCACAAACCCCTCATCTTAGACCTTATAAGTTACAATGGATTAATGAGGAAGGAGGAATTGTAGTCAACCAACAAGCAAAAATACCAATCTCCATTAGCAAATATAAGGATGAAGTTTTGTGTGATATAGTGCCATTGGAGGCTAAGCAAAATTTTACATATTGGACTCATTTTACTCCTAATTTTTCATAGATTTGATTTAGCTAGGTTCCATTCACATTGGATGAACCTAACTAAACCAAATCAACATTTTCAAAACCGGTTGGAGTAAAATAAAGTGCAAAGAGCCGCCCACCTTGGTTTGTGTTCACATTGCCCGAATTGCTTGTCTCCTCTCAAGCTTAGAAGCTTGAAGCACAAGCTTCTCCTTAGCTTTCTTACCAAGCAAGCTAAGTGAGTAGCTTGCTCTCCAAGCCTCTAGACCATGGACGGTTAGCTAGACCTTACCATGGTTCCTAGTGAACCATGGTTAAGGCTAGCTTGCTCTCAAAGCTTCCTACTCCTATATATTTGTTTTTCCTTCTTTGTAAAACACTTTTGGCATATATTTTAGAGATAATTCAGATATTGTTCAGATTTCTCTCTACTAAAAGTCCCTAAACCTCTTTGATATTCATCCAATTCTCTTATCCATTCCCTAGAAGAGTGTGGTGAGAATTGAAGAGACTTATCTCTTCATCAAGGAGTGGCGTCTCTTGGGAGAGTTCTCCACCAAACCGTGGTGGTTCTAAGGTCTCTACTTCCATTAGAGACCTTAGCAAAGCTTAAGAAGAATCAAGGAGCCGAAGATCTAGAGAGGAACTTGAAGAGGATTCACATCAATCCGGATTCTCCAACAAGTTTTCCATCACAGAAATAATCCAATTTTTCCAGATCATCATTCTTACAAATTAAATATATATTTTTAATCCTCAACACATACAAAATCTAATGGGATCATCAATTCCTCAAACAAAAATAATCCAATTTTTCCAAAACCTAACTTACAGTTACTTTTCTATAATTCCGTTCTCTCTCCCAAATCATCATTCTTACAAATTAAATATATATTTCTAATCCTCAATACATGTAAAATCTAATGGGATCATCAATTCCTCAAACAGAAATAATTATTAAATTACTCATAATCTTAAGGGACTCTTCCTCTACCCAATTCCCTCATGTAACTCTACATACAAATAATTCCCTTTTCCCCCGTACCTCGATAAGTAGTAGCTGAAGCTAAAACAGAGATCTCCTTGGTCTCCTCCTCTGAGTGCCCCTCGATCTTCAGAGAGTGTAGAAGGAAAAGAAGAGAATGTAGAAGAAAGAAGTCAAAACTGAAAGAAGTCAGAACTAAAAAGTGATTTTTGAGAGTGCCAAAACGCTCTATTTATAGGCATAAGAAGTCGCCGGAACGGCCCGTTCTGGACTCTGACGACATGTGTAAAATTTCACATCTAGAATGGTATGTTCTCAAACCAGAACGGCCCGTTCTGGGGTTGCATTTAACCCATAATGGCCATAACTGGAATGACCCGTTCCCAACTAGGGTTATAGGCCTTTTTGGTGGTTTGGAACGCCCCGTTCCCATCTAAAATTTGTAGACAATTTTTGTATTTTGGAACGGTCCGTTCCAGTTTGGGAACGACCCGTTTTGGGCTACTAAATCACCCTCGTTTTAGTAGTTTGGAACGAATCGTTCCAATTTGGGAATGGCCCGTTCTAGGCTACTACATAACCCTTATTTCAGATGGCAAAACAGAAAACGTTCATATTTTGCCTGTTCCTAGAAGCATGCATCAAGCAAGGGATTGGGGGCCAATCCAGCTACCCAACAATTATTCCCACATCCCTGACCGAGGTTTCTCACTCCCCCCTTACCTGGATAAGCAGAAGACGAAGCTAGAGCAAAATCTGGTTGATCTCCTTCTCTTGGTTCTCCTTGGTCTCCAGAGAGTGTGTCTAGAAATAGTGTCAGAGTGCTCTATTTATAGATTTCAGGAGTGGCCAGAACGGCCCGTTTTAGATCTGGAATGGCCCATTCTGGATCTTTTCATCATGTGGAAAATTCACATCTGGAACGGCCCGTTCCGGAGATGAGTTTTAACTCACAATGTCCATATATATTTGGAACGGCCCGTTCCCAAATAGGATTATAGGCCATTTTGGTGGTTTGGAATGGCCTGTTTCAATTTGAAAATGGCCCGTTCTGGGCGACCAAAAATAGGTCTTTTTAGTCTACTAAATCACCTCAATAAATTTTATGAAAATTACTAAATTACCCTCTATAAAAAGTATGAAAACTGGGGTGTTACATATATGACTCTCTTGATGCTGACATTTATATGAAACTCCTTGAAGGATTTAATTTTCCTAACGATGCAATTTCTAGAGAAGATTATTTGATCAAGTTGAATAAGCCACTATATGGGCTAAAGCAATTAAGTCGTATGTTGTATAATTGACTTAGTGAATATTTGTTACAAGAAGGATATAAAAATGATCCAATTTGTTCGTGTATATTTATAAAAAGATCTTAAAATGGATTTGTCATAATTGTAGTTTATGTAGATGACATAAACATCATTGGAACCCCTGAAGAGCTTTCAAAGGCAATAGATTGTTTAAAGAAAGAATTTGAAATGAAGGATCTAGGAAGGACAAAGTTTTGTCTAGGATTGCAAGTTGAATACTTAGAAAATGGAATTCTTGTGCATCAAGAAGCTTATATAACAAAGGTGCTTAAAAGGTTTTATATGGACAAATCACATCCATTGTGCACTCCCATGGTTGTAAGATCTTTAGATGTTAACAAAGATCCATTTAGACCCCAAGAAAAGGATGAAGAAATACTTGGTCCTGAAGTACCATATCCCAGTGCTATAGGAGCACTAATGTACCTTGCTAATTATACACGACCTGATATAGCATTTGTTGTTAATTTGTTAGCAAGATATAGTTCTTCACCTACACGAAGACATTGGAATGAAGTTAAACAAATCATTCGTTATCTTAGAGGTATAATGGATATGAGGTTATTATATTCAAATGTTCCCAAACCATAACTAAATGGTTATGCAGACCCAGGTTATTTGTCAGATCCTTATAATGGTAAATCACAAACATGATATTTGTTCACAAGTGGTGGTACAACCATTTCATGGCGATCTGTAAAACAAACCATATCAGCCACTTCATCTAATCATGCTGAAATTTTAGCATTACATGAGGCAAGTCGTGAATGTGTTTGGCTAAGATATGTGATTCAACACATATGAGAAACTTGTGATTTATCTTCTGAAAAAATGACATCGATAGTTATATGTGAAGATAGTGTTGTATGTATTGCACAATTGAAAGATGAATACGTAAAGGGAGATAAAACAAATCATATTCTACCAAAATTCTTTCTTACTCATGATCTTCAAAGGAATGGTGATATAAATGTTCAATAAGTCCGCTCAAGTGACAACCTAGCAGATCTCTTTACAAAGTCACTTCGAAGAAAAGCTTTTGAACAATTGATACACAAGATTGGACTCCGTCGTCTTAAAGATTGTATGCATGAGGGGGAGAAATAAATATTTATGAATGATGTACTCTTTTTCCTTCACTAGGTTTTTATCCAAAGGGTTTTTCCTAATAAGGTTTTAACGAGACACATTCTAAATATTGGACATCCAAAGGGGAGTGTTATGAATAATAATTAGTGGCTTAATTAGTAAATGTCAATATTCATTATCAATCATTACCATTTATATTTCGGGTATGCATTATTCCCTTTATTGTGTAATTGTTCCGTTATCACATGTACTTATAAATAGGTTAGTCTTCTCCCAAAGATAATACACAAGTCAGATTTTCATCTCATATTGTCTTTTTTGTTCTCTCTACTTTTTCTCTCTTTTATAACAACTTATTATTTATTATAAAAAAAATTTATAGGTTTGATTTGATTTTTGAAAAACACGGTGTTACAAAAGCTCTCCACACTATGGAAGCATACACTTATTTTATTATTATAACGATGATTAAAAGTTATCGAGTGTTTTTAAGATACATGATACATAAACATGTTTTATTTATTGTGCAGTACATAAGCATTTAAAGATTAATATTTGTAAGCAATCTTTATTAGTTCATAGCTAAGCTCTTTTGGTTCGGAAGACATGACCATGTGATCTGAATCCTTTATCACTTTCACCTCAGCGTATGGACCAGTGTTTTCAATTGTCCATCTTTGAAAGTCCTCTGTGAGTGAACTATCTTTTCCACTGATGATGAAGATTTTAGGAACCCTTCCATTCTTGTAATTGGTAACTGCTGTTTGTTCCTTCAACAATTTAACATTGCTCGAAAAAGGAGGTAAAGGCCTCACCAAGGAAAATGCAAGTGTCAAATCCTGCATAATATACATCATTGGGTTTGACTTCAATAATTAGTTTAATCTTGGGGGAGAATTACATTGTATACAAACATAATATAAAGTTCATCAAATTAAATCAAATCATGTGCATATGTTAATATAGTCGAGTGTTTAGAGTTTATGCAATAATAATATAAATTAATTTTATACCGTCATTTAATTAAATATTATTGTTAGTATAATTATTTATTTGTTTATTAAAAAACTAATAATATATTATTTTTTATCTTAATTGTAAGTAATAAATTAATTTTTTCGGTCTTAATTATATAAACAACAATGACGAATTTTTAAATTTAATTAGAATTAAATTTTTTATACCTTTCATTTATCATTAACAATTTATTTCTTATGCATTTATTTATATCTAATTTAAAATGTGACATAAACTACATAAAATTAAATAAATAAATAAAAAGTTGAAAAAAAAATTAAATTTATAGTAGAATTAATTAAAAATAACTATATTAATTACTTTTCTTTATCTTGATGATTTCTCATATATTGTTTATAAATAGGACAGTAAGTAATATCATATATACTGATTTATAATTATATATATATATATATATATATATATATATCACTAATTTTCTCTAAAGTCAAAATAATTTATCACTTGTCTACGTATTATTCATCAAATTTTGGATTCACTAAGATTATTGTCCCTCTAGAATTTTCTTTTTCATTTTTAGTCCCTTGTTTGTATTTATTCGTTTATATTAGTCTCTATAAAAAGACTAAAAATGGGTAACAAAAAGGCAAAAAAAATTAACCAGACAGAAACTATTATTGATATATAAAAATAAACGAGAGGCTTAAAATTAGACAGATAAGAAAAAAAAAAACAGGGTTAATTCATTAAAAAAGGTTTGAAATTCATTAAAAATGTTTACCTCAGGTGGTGATAATTTGTACAGGTTAGTTAAAAATTCGACTCCAAGTGATGAGAGGATCGGAGCTCTGTAACTGTTAGTCCCATTCAATATGAAATATTGTTGATCTGCAATATTGAAACCCAATCTTCTTGTTAGCTGCACAAGTTACAGATTAAATTCCTCTGTTAGTCTGCTTTTCACTACATTAATTACAACAAATATTACTACATTGATATATATAAAAACATATCATTAATATATATATATATATATATATATATATATATATATGAATTTACTTAACATATAATTATACATAATTTTAGTGTTGATTTTAATGAAATTCAACAATATATATTATGTTTTATATAATTTATACTTATATTTTAATAATATATTAACATATATTCATAGTGTAAGTAAAAGTAATTTTTAGTAATAAGTGTTGTATCATTATAAAGTGTATGTCACTAGAATAAATTTATTTTATAATTTTCTAATATATTTATATTTATATATAAAAAGGTAAAATGCTCTTTATTAAATAAAGATTCATAACTCTCTCATCAAGTCAATCTCTATAAAAAAATAAAGTGTTGTTTCTAACTACAATTTCATATCTAAACCAGAAATTGAACTTTAGATCTTAATTAAAGATAACATCACAAGTAACGAACTTTGGTAGGTAAAATGTATTTTAGGTCCATCAATAATTATCGATCAAAATTGACTTTTCTTTAGTCCTATGTGCATTAAAAATAATTATTTTAGTCCTTAAGAATAATTGTTTCAATTTATCATTTTTAAATATGATATTAGTGATATAAGGGGTTAAAATAAGATTTTTAAAAATTATAAAGACTAAAATCAACAATTTTAAATTTAAACAACTAAAAACAAATTTATCTGAAATTTAAGAAATTAAAAACATATTTAAGTATATATGTAAAGAGAAAGATGAATTACTTACTTTAAAAATAAGTCTTGATAGAATTATTCTATTGAATAACTTGCAATTTGCAATAAGTTTCAATAATTTAATTATTAAATTAAAATTTTTTAATAAATAAAAAAGTATGCAAATTTTACAAGATTTAGAAACTATTTTATTCTTCTATATCGTAAAACATGACGAAAAAAAATTGCAAAGTAAAAAACTTGCACCAAATATGTATTTATGACGATGTAAGTACCTCTTGATTATAAGCTATGTAGGTGAGTTTTTGAGTGACAACAACTGCAGTGGCAAAAACTGCAACAGAGATTTTTTCAGGATAATTTTCCATGGCAATAGAAACTGATAGACCACCAAGACTATGACCAACCAAAATGACCTTTTCCTTTGGAGGAAGAGATGCCATGAATGACATCAAAGGCTCATGGTACTTTGCAACTGAATCAACCTCTTCCCTCTTCCTTGGATTGATACCAGAAGCAGCCATGTCTAGAGTTGTCACATCATGACCACTTGATTTCAAGTGAGTGGCAACCTTATGCCAACACCATGCACCATGAAGGGCTCCATGGACCAACACAAAATGCTTTCCATTAACACATAAACAATGAAATAATAAAACAAGGATCATCACAAAGTACCTCTCCTGATTAAGCATCTTCATAATTTTGGCCTTGGCTTTCTTTCCTTAATTCGTTGATGACTTTTGCTGATAGAAACCGAGTCTTGGTCCTCTCTTCTGAATTCTACTCCTATATAACGTTGCTTTCCATCGGAATAGTTAGTTGTTTAATTATATTCTTTTCATACTCACCATATTATAATGAAATATTTTTAATTTTATTAATAATTAATTTTCGTTGAAAAACTTAGTTAATATTTATGAGATGTTTCTCCTAATTATATTTTTATCATTCATAAATATGAAATTTGAGAGCTTATTGAGAAGATCTGATTTAAGTATCACTTGAGCTAATGTTAATAATTATGTGTTTTTGTTATTTTTATAAATAATTTATTTTCTGATTATCCCGTGCATACGGGCTAAGAGTATATAGTATTTGACTATTTGAATATGATTAGCTAACTACGAAAGACAAGTCTTACCAAATTAATATAAAAATTATCATCTTCTTTCTTACTTTCTTTCCTACTTGTATTTTTCCAATTCGAAGAAATAGAGCATATGGAGGCCAATTGTGTTTTACGTGTAATCAATCAACAGGCTTAATTATATTCATGTCTTTCTTTTATTTTCAGAAGCAACCATTTGCGAAAGCGATGTGACGATGATATAGAATTTTATCCTGGGATTAATTTATAGCAAAGTGTAACATCATAACAAAGTCAACACTTTTTATAAAAATTATTAGTATTCGAGGTTATAGAATACTGATTAAATATTTATTATATATAACTAAATTTTATATAAAAAAATTATACACATAAATAAGTATTGTATTTAAGTATATAAAATATATTTATTTATATAAATAAGTATTTTAAATTTTAATTTTAATTTAAATAAATAATACATATTATAGTACAAGATTATTTTTAGTTCTTGGTAATTTATTTAAAATATTAAAATTTTAATTCATAAATAAATATAATAAAAAAAATGAATTGGTTAAAAGGTTATAAAAAAGAATTAAAAATATTTCTGTCAAAAAATAATCTTTGAAAAAAAATCGCGCAAGATAGTATTTTCCATTAACATATAGTGATAGATTATGTTGAATATCTATCTATTAATTTATTTATACAAAAATTAATTTTAAAAGGCACAATTGTGTATTGACTAGATATTCTATATTCACATGTTGTAAGTGCTTGCAATTGAGCTTGAATGAAAGATGATGAAGAAGATGAAGTTTATGAAAGAATAGAGAAAGAAGAAGATCTATGAAAAGCTTTTATGTCTATGATTTATCACACGGAAACGATAGAGAGTTTGTTATATATATATGCAGCACAGGTAACTAACTTATTTAAGGGATCAAAACAGAAAATAACAGCTAATCATATGGCTATAGTAACTGAATCTAGCTAATTACAATTAAAAACAACTATAGCTAGATAAATATAGAATGAAGATATCTTTCTATATCTAATACCCCCTCTCAAGGTGGGCATGTATGTTAATTGTGAAGACCCAACTAGGAAATAGCTATGTTAATAGGATTAGGATAAAGATAATTGGTAAACACATCAGCCAATTGACTTGTAGAGGGAACATGTAGTAATCTGATGAGACCATCTTAAATTTTATGTCTGGTAATGTGGCAATCAACCTCTATATGTTTGGTTCTCTCATGAAATGTGAGATTTTTAGAAATTTGAATTGCTAATTGATTATCACAAAATGTAGAATAGGGAGTTGGAATAGAAATGTGTAGATCTTGGAACAAGTAGTGGAGCCACTACAGCTCACAGGCTAATGAAGCTAAGGCCCTATATTCAACCTCAGAGGAGGATCTTGACATAGTAGTTTGTTTCTTCAATTTCCATGCAATCAAAGACTTGCCTAAAAAGACACAATAACATGTAATAGATCTTCTGGTTGTAGCACAAGTTTCCCAGTCAGAATCTGAAAAAGCTTGAATTTTAAGAAGATTATTAAATGGATAGAAAAGGCCAGCACCAGGGTCATTCTTCAAGTAATTTAGCATCCTCATTGCTTGTTGCATGTGTGGCTCTCTTGGGAAAGAAACAAATTGACAAAGTTGTTGTATAGCAAAGCCAATGTCAGGCCTGGTATTGGTAAGATAAAGTAATCTACCAATTAATCTTCTGAATGGAGAAGGATTTGAAAGTATGATGCCTCAATCTGCATGAAGTTTAACACAAGGGTCGATAGGAGTAGACAAAGGCTTGCAACCAAGAATTCCTGATTCAAAAATCAATTCTAAACAGTATTTTCTTTGATTTAAAACCAAACCAGTCTTGGATCTAGCAACCTCAAGACCTAAAAAGTACTTGAGAGGACCAAGACCTTTAATATGGAATCCGGAATGAAGATGATTTTTGACAAATTGAATCTCTAAGAAACTATTACCACTGAGAACTATATCATCAACATAAACTAATAGAATTGTGACCATTGAACCCTTACACTTCATAAAGAGAGAGTGGTCTACAAAGCTTTGTTTGTAACCCACACTAGTGTAAATGACCCTTTTTACGTCGGGTATTTCAAGCTTTTTACGTCGCAAACGCAGCCGACGTTAATACAGGAGACGTTAATTTACGTTGCCTCTCGAAGGCGACGTAAATTTACGTTGGATATTTAGCTATCCCGATGTAAAATGGGCCTAAAAACACCTCCTCTTTGTCGTGCGTTCAATCTCAGGATCGCTCAACAGCGGCTCAGAAGAATTGGTCCCTCTGGTTCGAATAGTACCTTGCATACAAGAGAAAATAGAAGACTAGAGTGCACAAGTCAGCTCAAAGAATTCATTGCTAAAATAAAAAATAACAATAACAATAAAGGAACAAGTCACAAATAACTATAAATACTAAATTGCCTTAACTAGTCCCCGACAACGGCGCCAAAAACTTGTTGAGATTTCTGTTGACATTTACTTTTGTTGTTATCATAAATCATTTTAACTCTGACAACGGACTCAAACACGTCAAGTATACCGGCCGTTCAAGTAGTAAATTTAAATCGTATCCACAGGGACTAATAGGTAAAATAAACATTTAATGACTATTTGTGACTAAATAATAATTCCAATTTTCATAGGTTGTCATGCAATTCAAATAAAGGTTATGACTATTGGAATTTCAAACCTATGATATAATTAGTGTGTGTGTGGAAGGGATAGAAATGGTATTGTGATTTTGTAAGATTGTGGGGTCAGATATCATCGAACTTAACTCTAATGAATCTTTGTTCTTTTGTTACATTCATTGTCTAGTCAACCCATAAGTTTACTCAAACCTAATCCCTTAGAGTAAGAGCCTAGGTGCAAGTAATGAATATCAATTCCTTGAGTATCCAATACATACACCTGCATTACGGGTTAGGGTTTAAGACTACTAATGGGCCAAACTCCATTCCTAGATACACTTCCCACTAGGTATTTGTTTCAAAGCTAGTTCAAAATGATATTTTCCAATACCCAATTAGCTGAAGCTAAAACAGAGATCTCCTTGGTCTCCTCCTCTGAGTGCCCCTCGATCTTCAGAGAGTGTAGAAGGAAAAGAAGAGAATGTAGAAGAAAGAAGTCAAAACTGAAAGAAGTCAGAACTAAAAAGTGATTTTTGAGAGTGCCAAAACGCTCTATTTATAGGCATAAGAAGTCGCCGGAACGGCCCGTTCTGGACTCTGACGACATGTGTAAAATTTCACATCTAGAATGGTATGTTCTCAAACCAGAACGGCCCGTTCTGGGGTTGCATTTAACCCATAATGGCCATAACTGGAATGACCCGTTCCCAACTAGGGTTATAGGCCTTTTTGGTGGTTTGGAACGCCCCGTTCCCATCTAAAATTTGTAGACAATTTTTGTATTTTGGAACGGTCCGTTCCAGTTTGGGAACGACCCGTTTTGGGCTACTAAATCACCCTCGTTTTAGTAGTTTGGAACGAATCGTTCCAATTTGGGAATGGCCCGTTCTAGGCTACTACATAACCCTTATTGGGCTTTGGGCCCTCGTACAATCTGTGAAAATTGGCCTGTTACAGGTGTTGTTGCTAATTTTGTTACCTTTCGCAGTGTAGCATTATCAACTTTTACATTCTCTCCGACCTAAGAAATTCCTATTGTTATTGATGATCCTATAATAGTTACCTTCTATCTACCCCCAGCCAACCATGTTAACCCAATAGTAAATCTATATCAACCTAATATGTAAATATTGCAGTAGAAGTAGAGAATATATAGTATGTAAATATTTTAGAATGATATTTAATGTAATTATAAGCCCACTATATGTGCATAAGTTTACAAAATCCACCTTGTCTTTATATAAAATATAATTCATGTTATAATTGCGTTAATAATTTATAAGAAATACATATTTAATAGTAAACTTAAGAACTATAAAAATAGGTGTTACATTTTAAATGGTATCAGAGTGACGTGTCATGTGTAACATGGGGAAATGTGCTAACCATGTTTCTAGTATGATAAACTAACCTATAAAAGTTTCAAATGGCAGGAAGAAGAAATATAGAATTGATAGAGGCTGTGTAAGCCATTAAGGATATGGTTGCAGCCTTGTTAAGAAATCAAAGACCAGAAGGAATGGGTGAGTCACAAGGATTGGTTGAATTCAAAAGAAATAGACCTTCTCATTTTGGCGGAGGATATAATCCTGAAAAAGGCTGAACTATGGATTAATGAAATAGAAAAGATATTTCGAGCCATGAACTGTCCTGATAACCAAAAAGTGAATTATGCAATGTTTAAGTTAGTAGGAGAAGTAGAATATTGGTAGGATAGTACTAGAAGGTTATTAGAAGGAGGAGGAATAAATATGATATGGGAAGTATTTAGAGCTAAATTTTTTGAAAAATATTTTCCTAATGACGTTAGAAGAGCTAAAGAAATAGAATTTATGCAATTAAAACAAGGGAACATAACAGTAGCAGAATATGCTTCTAAGCTTGAGGAATTGGGGGAAATATTTTGCTTTCTTTTATCATCCTGATGAGAGAATGAAATATATTAAATTTGAGGATGGACTTAAACCAGAATTAAGAAAGGTAGTAGGGATATTAGAGATTTCTGATTTTCCTAC